CCCCTCCAAGCTCTCTGGCAAAAGGCTCCTGGACCCACGCGCTCCTGAAGGCACGAGCATGAAGGACGCTGTCGGAGCCTTCCCTCCTTGAGCCGAGATGAGAAAGGTGACGGACGTTCAGTCTTGGTGCTTTCTGTGTTGCCGAGAGCACTGCAAATCCTTGGCTGGCAGGGGTGCCATCCTCAGCGCTGCTAACACCCTCAAAAATGCGAGTGACTAACTCCATTCTGGACTGGATTCCACTGCGAAATTCAATAATAAAAGGATTACCCAGAATGAAGACATCCGAGAGGTCAATCCGCTCCCAGACCTCCTTCTGCTCCTACTAAATTCCTTGTCCAGAGCTCTAATATAACCAATTGAAAATGGATCAACATCAAAACACAGAGAGCAGCGGAAGTTCAAAAGGCTTCATCGCTTTACTCCATTGAAGGAACTCAAAAACCTTAATCAATAAAAACATTTGCAGGAGTGGGGTGATTAATATCTGCGTTTTGTCTTTTTTTAAAAAAGTTTTAAAGCTGTTCAAAAGCACCAATAAATCCCAACTTAACTCAAGAAACAAAGATACAAGGAATAACTTTCTAAACACACGTCACATTACTAAAATGGTGCAAAGTGGCCCAAACTCATCTTGTTTGTAGAAATATTTCGGTCAGCAGCATCCTTCCCCGGGGGAGGTCGATTTAATCACTCCAGAATTATCTCTTCCAGACAACAAAGAACCGTTAGATCACTTAATTAAAGCACTGATTGTCTCCAACCCGAAACAACAGAACGTGGAATCTAAAAGAGACAGATTTAACCAGATGCCCTGGTCCTCGTTACGCTTTGATTCCAATCGATCGCGCACACACGTCAAGCCAGGGGCAATAAATTACAACCATGTGCTCGGAGAAGTTATCTTCCCGATATTGGCAGTGGAAAGCCAAGGCTCTAACTGAATGGTGCAAGATATTAGACTTCCATCTGGGAATAATAACCCACTGAACAAAAACATACCGGGGCATTAGCTTCAGGCGATGTCTTCGTTAAACCTGGCAGCGGGAGATCAAAACGAAACAGTTGTTTTTCGGGAAAGCGACAAGCATTTTGGTGAAAGAGATAACCGAGAAACATGTTTGCTGTTTAACGTCTATAAGAGAGAGGGAATTAAAACCAAATATAAATCCCCTTTAACCCAACGAGATGTCAACATCGCTCCCGAAACGAAAGGTGGGCAACTCTAGAGATACTTAAAGGCAGGTGGCACGAAAGCAGATGCTTACGGGGAAGAGCTCGGCACCGGTGAAGAGGCACTGAGGAGTCAGCAAAGCTTTTTGTCTCAAGCTGTCATGATTCAAGTTATGATTTGAAACGGCTCCATGCAATACTCCAGCTTTTCCAAAGTTCTTTCTACACTCCAGCCACCTGCTGTATTGGCCAATAAGCTTCTGGGGACGAAACTAAAAAGTTCGGACTAGTCACCAGGGAGCAAATCCGAATGGCTTATTCCACAGAAATCGTTACCGAACAGGCTGTTTCCCGCAGAACACCCACGCCAGCAGGTACCGGTCCCTCGGGAAACGGCAAATCCGCACCGTGACTCACTCCATGTAGGTGGATACTCATCACACCTGATGAAAACAGACATCTAAAAAGGAACGGTATGTGGGCCAAACGGGCCTGACACCAGGAAAAACTGAAACGATCTGCAGGCTCGGGAGGTGCCCGAGATGAACTCGGCGAGAGGTTCTCCCCGAGTGCGTGGGAAGGTAAACCGGGAGAAAGTCCAGAGGAAGCTTGGACGGCAGAGCGGGGATAGCAGTTATTCCCAAAGCTACTTAGTTTTTGTTAGGAAACATCTTCCTCTTCCACTCCCCACTGGAATAACCAGTGTACGATGGATTTTAAAACTGGGGAATGAAGCGAGCACCATGCAGAGCAACATCTCGCTGAGAGGTACTTACAAGGTATTAAAATACACGTCGTTCTGTGACAGGCAGCCCATGCTGGCGAGATAACTGCAAACACAAGCTCCAGCAGTTTAGCCCAGCAAGGCTGGAAACAAAGCCACAAACTGCTTTGAGAAACTGCGCAGAAATCCTCATTATAGGAATAAAATGTCAAAACAGCCCAGGAAATTCAAGCACGCTGGGGCCTGGTGTTCTCTGTGCTTACATAAGATTATTTTCCTATTAACTGTTACCTCTCTGCCATCAAACCCAGCAGAGCTGTGGCCAGACACGTAGTTCAAAAACATTCTCTGCCCCAGAGAGAGGGGCAGAAAAGCCTCTTAAGGGGTGAGAACCCAATGTCTCCGATCCGGGGCTTCTCTCTCAGCATCATTTCACCCTCTCCACCTGCAACGCAAGCTGCAAGCCGAATGGCGCAACACCACCGTACCGAAAGTGAGGTTTTTTGAGAAAGATTTTGTAATGGGAAGCAGTGATTAGCCTACGAACAGCCTGTTTGGACAGAAAACCCCATCAGAGGGAACAGAGACAGGGAAAGGCGCTGCAGGTCAACTCAGGAAAGATTTTTTCCATGCTCCCTACAAAAGAAGCACCATTACTGGAAGGCGGACCTGCTCTAAATCTTCCCACATGACAGAAATTGTCATTTCCACAAAACACGCTACCGAGGGCAGCCAGCACGCTACCTACTTTCTTGATCAATACATCAACGCTTTCAAACAAGCCCGAAATATTTCCCAATGCTGGAAAACCTCTGCTGCCACATTTGAAACAACACCGACAGCTCCGCCCTGGACGCGACGCCTCGTGCGCTCCTTCCCCAGTGTCGGGAGCTGCCAACCCTGAAGGCCAGCGACACCTTTACTCGACACCCCGCGGCTCAGCCCGACTCCTGGCTCTGCAGCGGGTGTGCGGTACTCGTTTCCAGCTCTAGCAGATCTTGAAAATCCCATCGCTGCAGTTGCCATCTCGTTCACTCCACAACCTTCCCACACGGCTTCAGCAGCTGCTGCGCGGGGAATTGCTACGGCCAGTCCCAAGCTGAGACGTCGGCAAGAGCAGCAGTGAGAAAAGCTGGCACTCGTTACCCCCACCTCCCTTCCCTCGCTCCAATCTCTACGTAAAAATTAAGCTTCTGCTGTCAAAATACAAAAATCCAATTGTCTCATTAAGGAAACTGCAGAGTCCAGAACAAAAGCGTGTCTCTGTCCAAAGCTCTGTTGTAGGTAAAGCACAAATCATTTCCAATTTCAAGCGTGAGGAGCCCTTCACAAACGCTCAGGTTAAGTTTCCCTAACTTTGCAAATTCTTTCCAAAAAACCGTCACCGTTTTTACGCCACTCGGCAAAACACAAGCCGCGCTTCTCTCCTGGTTCCGACACGTTTTTGAGATGGCAACGCGCGTCGAAGCGCGCCGCGCTGACAGACGTGCTTATCTAGTCTGGCTACACCGCGCGTCGCAATGCCTCCGTCGTCGCTGGCTGACGGCACGAGAAAGAAGTTGTTGTGAGAAATCCCTTCCAACACTGCATCGCCTGTAAAACGTGGGCTGACAAACCCAAAGGTGAAACCGGAGCCAATCTCGCCGTTTACTTCCACCCAACACATCCAGCCTCCTGCTGCCCCACGTGCTGAGAAGGGCTCAGCCCGTTCAGCCCAGGCTGAGGGGAAGCAGTGCTGCACCTTCCCTCCCGCAAAAACCTTTTTAAAGGAGTTCTTGTATCCAGCCATGACTTCACGGTCATCTGATCACAATTTAAAAAGACAACCTTGCTTCCACAGACCTACTGGTTTTCATCTTGGGTATTAATTCTGCTGGCCCTGGTCCCTCCTGCGCTTGGGGAGGAACTGCAAACCTCCCTTGGCTGCACATGCAAAATTCCTTTCTTCCAGTAAGCTCAGACGCCGATAACAACTGCGACTTACAAGAGAAGCTGGATATCTATGAAGATAATGCATGAAAATAAGTAAAAATTTGATATCTGTAGCAAAAGTGCCAAGGTTACACATTTGGACTGACTATTTTACATCAAGCCACATCGTAAAACAAGTAGAAAATCCAGCAGGAAAAGTGCCTTTTAACCTACTTTTGTCAGCGCTGACACACAACAAGCTACACCTAAGGATGTGTTTTCTCTCCGTTTTCGGGCAAGATGAAGAAGCAATGTGTTTATTCATTTTTTCATGGTCACTGGGCATCTCCAAAGAGAACACATCCCGTTACTGGATACAGCAGGGAATTCATTTGGCTGTGCAACACACACACACACTCGCTTTTCAGATTTCTCATGACCATTCCCATCCCACCTAGGAGACCAGCATCTATAACGACAACACTAAACCTGCTCGCGTTTTGTGACCGCGATGCCAGACCAGTGCAGCCTCACCTTTTTTAGAAAAACTGTTCAGCTGCCAAGTCACCCGGACAGTTTCCTATTGCTGCTGTGAAGAAGAGACTGCCTCACCGACATTTATCCTACACATGCGCTATTAATTCCTCTGGCTTACGCCTCTTTCACAAGACAGAGCCTAAAACAAGCATCAGAGAAGGGCCCTTGCAGCATAAATGCACTAATTCCCACACAACTGCTGCATTTCGGTTTTCCACTGCCTGTCTTTTTACTGGAAGACGTGAAAGTTGCTGCTATATATTTAGATATAGACATTTTGAGAGAGCATAGTGTTGAGGGAATGGAAAAAGCAGATGGTTTAAGACTGAACTTAGTCAAGATCAAGGAGAACAGGGGTCATGTCAGGACAAAGATGCCATTAATCTGTTAAAGGGCGGAGGGAGGCAAGAAAGCACCTCAGCATCTGCCTTTAGCATCAGCTGACCCACTCCATCATGTTTTCGCATGGTGAAATCGCAGCGAACACGCTTCCCGACGGCAGCCCAGCGGCTGCCTACCCTTCTTCCTCCGCTACGCATCGGCCCGCCGCTCCCGGGGGCGGCCAGGGAGCACCTTTTAGGCTCGATTCGCGCACGGCACGCCTGCCGAAGGGAACAAAGCAAGCAGAGGGCTCTGAACGGTAGAACTGACATACAAGTCTCTGTACTGGTCAAAGGCATTGTTGGCTTCCACCTCCAGCTTGCGCAGGCGAGCAGATGGCATGGCACCGTCTTCCAGGGGAGGATCGTACTTGTTGCTCCACGGTGATCTGCCAAAGAGACAAGGAAAATACGATTAGACAACCCAGACGAACTCTGGGAGAAGCTCTGAGATCGGGAGGCTCCGACCTGATCCGCAGGCGCCGAACTTCCAGAAAAACTCACAGGTCCCAGGAGCAGTCTGCCCGTGAGAATTTCCTCCTCAAAAGCCGTTTCAAACGCTGACAAAAAGGGGATGTGCTCTGCAAACGTTACGGTGTACCCAGGGAATCCTCCCTGCCCTCCAGATTTCTGCTGTATAAATAATCACGCTTGAGTGTGTTCCTTCTTGAATACTCCAAATGAGGCCTCAGCTGTTGTACATCATGTATTTAAAATTCTTCTCACGCAAACACAAATCGATGGCGCAGTTTATTTGAGATCCGATCGTATTTGAGCCAAGTGCTGCTGTCTCCAGCAAAGGTCCAAATTCTCCTCCGCTGTTTTGCTTTGGAATAAACTCTACTTTTAGGAGGAAAACGTCTGAACCGTTTGAAGGATTTAACGGGGTTCGTAAAGCTACAGGGTTTACATTGATTCCTGCAGGTGTGGAAGGGGGTTTGTGCTCTTAATGAAAGGTTTGGTATTAAAAGACTAATGGAACCCTTTGCCCATCTGCTCAAGCCTTTTACAAGCCCTGTTCTGTAAACCTGCATTCTCCTCTTCATTTCCCCTGAGAATAACCAACCCACATATATCACCGCTAGTTTAAAGAAAGGTACCACTCCCCTTTACCTCCTCACTTTGCAAAATACCGCAGCCTACGAACACCAGGTCTTAATGCAGTCCATACGTGAGGGCTCTCAGTAGCCATTTGCTATTCATTTCTCCAAGGCATTTACTTTTTCCATCTGTTTAATGCAAAGCACAGAGGATCAGGCTCTCTGCTTCACTCCGGCTCTGCGCTTTCGCAGCACTTCCACTCCTCCCAACCACATCTGACTCGAAAGGTGAGGCAGCAGGAAAAGCTAAATCACGGTGTCACAGCCGCCCGGAGCGATGGCTTTCAGGTGCCGGTTCTCATTTTCAAGCCATTGCTTAAAACTCGGTTGCTTTGGAGAAAAAACAGCTACAGCGGTGCTCCTCTACCTCATGACTCGCTGAAATCTGGGAAAGGTTCACACAAAAATCACCACCGGTGCTGGCGGGAGGGTTTCCAACCGGCACACCCGCTCCCGCGAGGCACAACGGGCCCCCCCGCTCCCGCAAGGCAGCCAGCCCAGAACCAAACGGCACGGGAGAAGCTCGGGCTGAGAGCGCGATGACCTCGCGGTCACAAAATCTGCAAAAGCGAAGGGTGGGTGTGTAGGCGAGGCCACGCAGAAGCGTCCTGCTGCCTCAGCAGCAATGTTTGTTAGGACACGCTCGCTTTTGCTAAATTTTAAAAGGCTGATTAAAAAAAATAAATAAATAAAAATTTCCTTTTTTTTCCTGTAAATTCAGAACACTTTGCTTCTCCATCAGGTACAAGCAATTGGTGAGCAGAAAATTCATGCAGAAGCCACAATGAAGATGCTTTAATTGTAAATATTAGATCTCTGCTGCAGCCTGCAGGAGGGGGATTTAAGGGAAAGCCCAGTAACAGAGATTCTTCTAGCCAGCAGGCTGGGGCATTTTCAGCCCATTACGGTTGGAGTCAGCAGCGACTTCACTTAAAAAAAACACACCAAAACCACCTCGAAACACAACCCTCTATTTTTCCTTTTTGCGGAACAGTACTCACAGCACGTTTAAAAACTTATGTGGAGGCTATATGAAGAAAGGCAGATGGACAGGCACTTCCATTGCAAAAGTCAGACGTCTGATTTCCCTAAACGAGAATGGTTTTTGTTTCCGCTAACAGCTCTCAGGGTTGTTGGCACCAAATTCCCCATAAGGATTCCATTTAATAGGGGGATCAAACATACTGGGAGTGGAAATGTATGGACAAAGTCAGGGACCTTGAAGTCATACGTATGTTTAAAAAAAAAAATTAATAAAACTGCCTCCACCCTGTGGATTCCGCGGCTGTTTGAGATCCTCCACGAACCTTTGTTATACAGGAGCGCTCGCAGAAGAGCCCGGGAGACTGCGGGCACAAGAGTCCCACAAGCTGCGGTGCAATACTGAAAATTATCTCTTTATGAAGATTCAAGAGAGACTCCAAAAATCTACCTTTGCTCTGATCCATGTTCGACACGGAGAAAATCAAGTCTGTCCAAATAGGAGGAAGAAGCAAACTGTGACGGGTTAAGCATTAGGATATTCATGTCCCTCTGTGCTGCCTGTGAAACCCGGTGAGTTATCACCTCGAGTAGCCAAACACCCCACAAACAGCTTTTTTTCCAAAGCTAATTCCTAGCCAAATAGTAAAGCTATTAAAAAAAAAAATCAAACAAAAAGCACAACACATATAATAAACTGGATTCCCAGTGAGAAAGTCTTGACTACCTAGTCCCACCTTTGCTACCAAAGGAGCGAGAGGTTCAGTTGTCCAGAGAACGCTTTGAAATCCTTGGATCGGTAGGAAAAGAAATGCAATTAGCAACCTGTCCAGTAAGAAGAAAAGGGGTGTTTATTCTGAGGTGTGCAGTGATTGCAGGCAGGGAAGAGTGTTTCTTGGGACTTCTAATCAAGCACGTGCTTCTGAAAAATCTTCGTGCAAATATCAAAAGCTTTGAGAAGCGCAGTAAACTCCTCCTAGATTTTGGGCTAATTGATTAAATTAGTGTAAGAGCCATTTCCCAGTAACGACTTGAGATTTTACGAGGTATGAATAACAGTGTCTGAACACAGGCACAGAATGGGATTAGCACATGCACATGTTAGCATCGCTCGGTTTTCAAAGGCTTTTGCTTTGGGCTGGAGGAAAGAAATTTACTTCACAAAACAGAGCTGAGACCAATCAATTCCAGAAGGAAGAATCACTTCAATCCCGAATGCCTGAATCAAAAGCCTCAGAGCGCAGCACTCGTTAATGCCGGCAATTAATACATCGTGCCTATTCTACACGAACAAACGAAAGAGCTTTTCTGGAACCCCATTACTTAATAAGTCCTGAAAACACCAAAGTGATTTAAAATAAACCCAAGTCCTCCTGTTTCCTTGTCACTACTTAAATATCTTCTCAGAAAGAAAGAGGTTGAGCAGATTTCACAGGCAAGCATGAAACCAACCTTAAAGAAAGAGCTGCTGCACCCACTAATTGAGCACAGGGGGGAGCAAGTGGGGGCTTGGCAGCGCTGGATTAAGGGTTGGACGGGACGACCTTAAAGGTCTCTTCTAATCTCAAGGATGCCTTGATTCTATGTGACAACAGTGTTTAACGAGGGCCTTTTTGTGTTTCCTGCACAGACGCTCGCGTGAGCGACCTAATGGGGGTGCAAGGGGACTGCAAGAGACACAGCTTCGGGCACAAAGCACCTCCTGGAAGTGTCCCCCGAGGCACAGGATCTCACACTTCAGAACCGAGCACTAAATGCCCGTAGCTGCTAACGCAGACCTGACCAACTCGGGGACACAGGCCTAACGCCCAAAGGCTTTTAAAAGGCAACAGCCTCTTTCGTGGAAGGTTGAACAAACTTCCAATGTACCCTAAAGAGCATGAGTGAACGCTTCACCTTACAGACCTTCTTGGTTCTCGGCCCACGGCAATAAGTTATATTTAAAAAACCCCAACTCATTCCGATTTACACTCAGCCACAATCCAGATGCACTGTTAAATTTGGCATCTGTTACCAGCCTCCTCCTCCTCTTTCTAGGACAAAACAAATCTGAGCACGTTCGCCGTGTAAATCATCTGCAGACAGATACGCTTTCAGTTTACGTGAGTGCCTTTCCTGTAGCTGAAACCAATTAATCTAGAATCCTTTACACGCTTACCTGCTTCTGCCACGATGGCCTGACCCAAAGACAAATAATAAGTTGTTAAAATATTTTCTGGAGCTCCACTTCCAAAAATAAAATTCTTGAAAAATTCTGGCCAGATCAATGCAAAACGCTACAACGAATGTGCATGAAGCAAAGCCTGATTCTTACTGTAGACAGTTCGGATCGTTAGCACTAAAAATAAAAGTTATTACTGCATGTAGAGCCAGAGACGTAACCAGTACAGTCGTGCCCAGCAGCAGCAGAATGGCTGAGCTGGGAACTTGGGACCGAAGATGAACGGCAGTCGTTACTTCACAGCCTGGCACCCCTCATCAAGAGAAAAGAATAAAAGCTGGGTCATGCAATATTCACCAAGGTTTCTGGACGATAAGCTCTGTGATTTTTAATTAAATATTTGGAACTGTGCCACTGTCACTACAGCCATGAAGAAAAATCAGGCAATGTTTTTAAAAAAAAAAAAAAGAGAGGAGGACCCGCTCAAATAGTGGAGTGATCACAGTCGCTCAGCTGTAATCATTCTCATGGCAAGGGGTAGAATAAAAACATTACGATTGCACTCATGTGGCAGCCAAAATACTGAAAACTCGTTGTACCATTCCAGTATCACAGCCTCTTCTACTTTGAAATTCATCATATTATAATTACATACAGCTTACACTGTTCAAATGTTTTCATCGGTCTTGTCTACAGGCCTCAGAATAAATCAATTATTTTCGTAGAGAGGGATTCCTTTTCTTTGCTAAAAGCTTGGGCCAAGGTTCCCACACAGAACTAACAACACTGCATGGCCCAAACCAGGCCTGATCCCTTGCAAAACACAGGTGGAAGAGCCTTTCCCAGCTGGCAAGCGCTGCCTCTCTGTGCAAACAGAAGATGATTTTGTCTAAACTCGCTGCTTGCAACATCTCTTTTCTGTTGTTACCCACTCCAGAGGTTTTACAACCTCGCAACAACAGATCAGTCGTTTTCATATCAAGGCCATCACAGCCCTTTCTTCTAGAGATTCGACTGGTTTTAATTCCCAAGCCTGAGAAAAATACATTAGTCACCCCTTTAATACGACGATGACATCACACTTTAGGCTTCAGTGACCGACTGCAAATCACAGGAAAGAAAACATGTACAAACACTGTGATTTCTAGGATAAGCTGCGTATGGTTTGCTCGTGATCTCCCCCATCCTTATCTGGACCCACGAGCCTTTCGTTTTATTTTTTCTCCCCTGTGCTGCTGAGGATGGGGAGCGACAGAGCGGTCTGGTGGGCACCTGGTGTCCAGCCAGGGTCAACCCAGCCCAGGCTTCACAAATAAACCAGTTAATTCTTTGCTGTGGATACAAACTCACCTGTATGAGTCTCCATCTCTGTTGTAGTCGCACAATAGATAGTCTTTTCCTACCACCTTGTCTCGTGCAATCTTCAACGGCTGATCCACAGAGGAGAGGAGATCTTCACAGAGGCTCGGGACCTGAGGGTTTGGAGAAAAATGACAGAGAAGGAAGAGAGGGCAACATGTTAATGTTAAGAAACTGGCAGCCCTGAGACCAGATTTTGCTATTAATAGATCACATCTGTCCCAAAGCCAGGAACCCTTTAAAAATAAAATAAAAATCAGAGCAAGCTGCACTTAAGTTACAACACAACCCTATGCTCCCACCTCCAATAATTTCAGATTTAATTACCTAACCACCAGTGTGGTCCAGTACACTTCAATATATACATTTTCTGTGTCAGCTTCTTGCCAAAGAAGGCCAGTAAAGTGATTGTCGAGGACTGATGAATAAAGGTAAATATTTATAATGGAGTGGAAGCGAGGGAGCTGCTAAAAGAATACGCCATCCATATGCTAGAGTGTATTTTTCACAAGCTCCCACTCCGCGTAGAGTTTAGAAGAGTTTCCAGGCAGCTGGCCAAACATTACCGCCTTGGCTAATAAAACCAGGCAAAATCACATGTAAAATCACACACGCCTCCTGCACAGGTAGCGTTTAAGGGATTCGCAACCCCAGCTGCCTCCTGCACTTCCATGGAGAAAGGCTCAAGGTCTACGGAGGGGCTTGGACACGCTGCAAAGAGGTGACGTTTTGCAGCCTGGAGCGAGCTGGAAGGCAAGCACAAGCGAATCGAGCAAATTCCATCTCGTGGCGAATCAAACAAATTCCATCTCGCGGCCTCTTGCTCCGGAGCTGATGGTGGTCCCGTTATCGATCTCAGTACTCCCACACTGCGGGCTTTGGCCCCGCTCACAGCTCCCTGCAGGAATTCCACCTCCCCTGCACGGACCTGGGGGCGGCACATGCAGCAGCGTGCCCGACCCCTCTGGGGGGTGATCGGCGAATCACGCCTGGAGCTATTATTCAAAAATGAGCGCATGCATCGTGTGCTTCCCTCAGGGAAAAGCTTTCCAGATTTTGCCGCAAGTGAAAGGGACTGAAGGAAAACGCCCTCTCCCAAGGGGAAGAGGGGAACACAAGGGGATATAGAACAAGGCGAGTTCTTGAATATATTGGTGACAAGGTGCTAACGCAGAAGAGAAAAAGGAATAACCAATGTCAGATTTCTTCTATGTTTCATTCTGTGCCGTAGAGATGAAAACCTGATTGAGAACACAACAAGTAAGCGAGGGTAAAATTAATCATGAAGTGATGAATTCACGACTCAAAAGAAATGGAGAGGGAGGGAGGGAGGGAGGAAGAAAATACAGAAATGGGCTGTCTTCAAGCCATTGATTCAGTGAACTGGTTGCTGTTATTTCAAAAGAAAGAAGCCTAGAGGAGAAAAAACAAATGAGGGGTGTAACAGCTCCCGAAAGCATAAGCACAAGCTATTTTCATGCGCTAGATGTGACATGAGAGATCAAACTGCCTGAAATGAAAACATTCCTAATCCCAAGTACAAGGCAATAACATCCAGAGGATATTAAGTCAAAGCAAGAAGCGACAAATATAAAACAACGTGACCGCTGAGACCAAAAAAACTCCAGAAAGGCCAAAGGCCAAAGCAAGATGTGGCTAGCAAGAGACAAACCACCTCGCCCACACGAGTGCCCCCTAAGCCCACAAAAAACAAGAGGAAACCCAAGAAATGGTTGGTGAAGTTGTTGACAGCGCTGAAAGAGCTGAAACATGAGTCTGAGGTTTTGACTTTGGTCTCTGCAGGCTGTAATGTGGTAACGAGTGACAACCGAAGAGCCCAGATGAAGGAGCAGTTAAGTATTTATATAAAGCTCGATGCTTCTCATCGGAGCTCATCCTTTGGTACTTGGAGACCTGGCCGAAGCAACCCCAAACCCACGACGCATTCCTTGAGCAAACACAAGTCGCCAGCAAGCAGGCGCCTTTTAGGCAAATCTCTCCTTTTTCCGCAAACAGGCGACCCTAACGCTCCACGGGGCTGAGACAACTCAGCAGCGTCACGGCACGAGTTACGGGAAATGATGTATCGGTGCTCACGAGCTCATCTGGTTCCACTTTGTCTTTTCCTTCGCTTCTCCGTTAGCTATCAATTTTCGGCCAACCCATACGGCAGAAAGCAACTCGCGATGACCCCTTCGATCTCAGACGCGTGCACAAGACCCAAAGCACCTCCTTGTTCCGCACTGTCCCCACCAGCAACCTGCCGAACACGGTCCCTCTCCTCGGCTGCTCCTTGGCCAGCCGCCCACCGGCAGAGAGGGAAGCGTCTCGGAACAGATCCCTCGCTCCGACGCGTGTTTTGAATGAATAGTAGTGATGAAAACACAATTCGGGGAACAGTGGCGTTCTTCCCAGACTCTTTCTATTTGGTTTCTTTGGGAAAAGCCCAGCGCTACGCGTGCGGTGAGGGAGCCCGAGAGGTCTCGCCCTACAAATTCGTCGAACTCCAGCACGAGTACAAACCCCCAGACTCGAGACAAGGGGCAATTCCCCCACAGCAGAGCTCCTAATAACCACCTGAATTTACGACCCAGACAAAAAGCCACACAAATAACTCTGAGATTTAACTTGCTTTTACAAACAGCCCATGCCCAGAACGGTGTTTCCAGCCGGCTCAGCGGGAGCGCACGGTCTCTTATTGACCTAGAAGGAGCTCCCAACAAATTGTTTTTAAAGTGCAATTTATTCAATTTCCACGTAGTAACTGTGAACTAAATTGACCTCTGGATGATTTGGTAGTACAAATAGTCATGAGCATGGTCATTTTTCCAATTTCTAAGAGCTGTGGCTAGTCTTTCAGCCCTGACAGCGAACGTGTGACATCATACACTTACAAGAATATAACACCACATTATAGATACATGTATATATATTCTGCATTGTAAGAACACACTATATATCCATTGACTCTTTGGTCCAGACACTCTACAGGACCTCAGGAGATATATTCTTTTCTCCTTCTCCTTTCAAGACGAAACAGGGAAGAAAATCCACTCATCTACTTTGGAAGTATTAGAGAATTTCAGCAGTGTTTAAAAAAAGAACAGAGATATTCCAGCTGATGGAACTACTCACGTAATTCTAATTGTCAGAGGAACACCCAAGTGTGGCACAGTCAGCCCAAGAGAATCATTTTCGTATCATTTATTACATCAACCTCCAACAGCTGCCGTGCTGCCTTGCTAAGGCTGAATTTACAAGATTTATGCACACTGGTCTTCCTGTTCTGTGCTAGGAAGCCGCGCACAAGGCAAACGCAGCAACTGGAACGAGGCAATCTGCAGCTTTCAACAGTCCAGCTCTGTGGTTCGTGAAACTACTCGATTCCTTCTGAATTTAGGTCCTTTGCATTTTAGAACGAGCATCGGATCTGGTATTTGGCACGGCCCGGCTAAGCGAGCAATTACCTTGCGCTGTGCATACACCTTTGCCTTCGATTCTTCGCCGTGTCACATATCAAACCTTCCTCAAGTGCTGAAACTGCTTTTGTGCACATTCAGACTTGTGCAGAATCCAGCTTGAGTTTAGCAAGAAATCACCCCAATCTGCTGATCCCAGCCAAGACAACTCCACCCAGAAGGCCAACTCAGCCTCTGAGTTTTCAGACTGAAACAGTGGATTTGCATCGTTAACTCGGCTCCTTCTGTGTTAACTGGAAAGCTGAAATGCACTGAGGTACCCGAGTGCACGTACCCAACGGTCCTTATATAGGGGACTTGGACTTAAATTTAGCAATGCCAGAACTAACCCACTCCCCAAGCTAAATACTGAAATGCCAAAGCAGTGATTTGGTTCACTACAAATAAGAGTCACGGCGATGAAAACATTGAAGCTCTGAGGATTGTTTTATAAGCAAAGACCGGGCTCCCATCTTTATTTTAGGAGAGGCTTTTCCCTGCTCCGAGCAGCGCAAGGTCAAATGTAAAATCCAATCTTAATCTTGTAACTTTGGCTAAAGGCCGTCATTAATTTACTTCGGTCCACAGCACAATTCTGGACCCTAATGCACTCACGTTGCCAAAAATAAGCACTCGATCATCCGTTACGGCGGCTCTATGTATAGTCATGGAGCGAGACCACCCTCAATGTAAATTAGGGAAAAAAAAAAAAACAAAAAAGGAGAATCCCTGGGGGTCCAGACTCAGCTGCTCAGCCTGCAACTGAACAGCAGCATCATTCAGAAGCACAGACCGTGCAACAGGGCACTGGGCTTGTAGGATTTTTTTAATTTTTTTTTTTCCCAAGGAGATATACAATAAATGTGTAAGTACAGAGGAAAGAAAACCTGAACGAAAAGCGAGTTAACCATACTCTCCCGCGTGTTGAACAAGGATTCTGTTGTCTCGTGTAACAGGATTCTCCGTCGGAGCAAGGCAGGTATGTGGACAGTGTTTTAATTAAGTCACCCGCCCTGCTATCAGGACAAATAATCACTTGTGCCAAAGTGGAAACCGTACACTTCTCGGAGCAGCTAACAGTCATCCCCTCTCGATTCGCTTTTTCGTCAAAGGAGCTTATTATCAACTAACCAATTGTTTCTGATTTTTTTTTTCTTTTTTAAATAGGACTCAACTCACCTAAAAAAAAGCTTCGAGGAAACAAGGACAGCTCTTCATGTCTTACACGTGCTCCCCATCCTTGCTTTGATCGTGCTGCCTGAACCGCGTCCCGTTCTGCCCCTTACGCACTCAGGACAGTTCGGATTTTGACTCACTGGCCACGCAACTGGAGCACACCGAGGTGGTTGTTTCCTGCTACAGACTTGACTGAAATGAATCACGTTCACGATTGAAACAGCAACGTTGCTGGTGTAAGGTTCTGTCTTGGAAATACTCTTTTGACATATTTATCCAGCCTTTCCCGACCTCCACAGGAATCTCACGCACTGGGAAACTACGCTAAACGCAGCAAAATCGAAGATGAAACATGTCTTTTCCTCAAAGAACCAGAAGGAAGATGAAGGGATTTTCAGAAAATTAGCAAAGAAGGCAAATTCAAAAGGCAAATGGATCGAGATGCATGCAGGTATCTCGGCAGTTTTTAATTAGAAAGC